CTTGATGACTCCTTGATTCCTGTTGACGAGGGATTACTGGTAGTTAACCACTTCATTTATTTTGGCAACTGCATCTGCAGCGATGGATGCATAGCCACTGAAGTTACTTCACGTTTTGCGACAGCTAGAACTGTATTCTTGAATATTTGGCATCTGTGGCACCAGAGTGGGTTTTTCCTTGGTCTGATGGACAGGATGAACACTGTCACAGTGACCACTCTTCTGCTCTGTTGGTGAGACAACCCTTTCGGTTTGAGGGCCTGAGACGCCCTATACTCGTTGATCATTATTGCTTGTGGAGCATTCTGGTGTTATTGTGTCCTCAGCGATAGCGTGCTCAGACGAGTACTAGGCGGAAACAGTCGCAGTAATTCTTTTTAATCACAAGTAATGTAAAATGGATTGCGTTGCCTTGAATATGTGCTACGTTTGCCTGGTCATCGCTTGCCGAGGAGCGCCTTGCTATGTTTACCGTATGTAAGCTGTGACAAGGCTCGAGATAGGCTGAGGTTGACTTGGCAACTGAAAATGAGCTCTGAGTACTAAATTCGATGCTGTTGGTCCGCCTCACCTTCACGGTTGAAGTCCACGCGACTTGCTTGGTACTTGGCTCCAGACGTCCGCAGGACTTGGCTCGCAGTCGACTGCAGTGATGCGTTTGCTGTCCTCTCGTAGTCAGACTGCCTAGTTACAGTTTGACTGGTGCTAAGTTATCTGCAGGGCAATGACTGATTATGACGTGGGACAGTGAAAACCGTACTGGAATCTTCTCGTTACCTTCGCACGGTAGCCGCTTGTCTGTGACCGTGTGTTGTTGACAAGGTGTAAATGAATGTGAAGTGTAAGTGAATGTTTACTTTTGGGTATTTAACTGATACACCGAGTCCTTCAATTCTCTCTGTTGTCATTGTACTTCATTGCTTAGGTCATTATGATTGTACTGTGGCAAAGCATCAGTTCAAATAACTGATGTACTGTTTCGAAACTGATGATTATGATTTCCAACTAATCATTATTGCAAACCGAATCTGCTGTGTGTATCAGCCACTTTGGCGCTAGCATGCTTGTACTTCACCCACATTAATGCACCCATCTTGACTGCGCTCAATCGTTATCCTTCGGGGATACCTGACATGGGGAGACCATCAAGGAACGTGTTGGCACTTGTTAGGGCTGGAAGTGCTCAGCTCATTCTACAGTATCCTATCTTGTGAGCTGATCACCTGTCCACTATTAATAGCCCACCAAACCTAATGTGGTTCTCAATGGCCTCACATGATCACAGGTCGCACTCCTAATTACTCCACAGCCCCAAGGTACTGGCAAGACTCGCTGCCGAAAATGTAATTGCGCACTAATCGACGAGTCACAGCGGATGAACCGGATTAGATATTGACTCAAGTTTTTGTATCTTGCACGGACCTGGAAGGAAGGAAGAATGATCGATAGTGTAAGTGGCCTGCAACCAAACTATCCTACTGGAAGCGAAAAGAAACAAGTCTTTCCAAGCTGAAGGCAAATGGCACTAATAATGAATGCGTAAATATGGATAAGCTGCAGCGGTTTGTTACTTCTGATCAAATCACAAAATTCAATCATCTTAAGGACGTTGACTTCCCTAACACACCCATATACCGGTATGCATAGGGCTACTGGCTGGTTTGACCGATGCAATGGCGAAAATGCATGCGCCAGCCAAACGTTTCTTGAATTTCATACGTTTTCTTCTCCATTAAGGTACGCATACTTCACCGCATCTGTCGCTTGTGAGTCAGCAAATACATAGTCTTTCAGGTCTGTTTTATTTTTGGCGTCAAATATCCCGTTCTGATGCGCACGTTTCTTTTATCACTCCAAGTTCATTTGTTTTCACTAGCAATATGGAGTATTTTTAACAGTGCACTGCTCATCGGTCTTGAGTGCATGGTTGGTGTGACTAAATTAATCGGCCTGATTGCATATCTGAGGTAGACTCGACCGCACAGTCTTTTTACTCAGGTCGTTCTGGTGACTGAAGCGTGATTTCGGCGAAGCAGCCAATGACATGATCAGATGAACCATTGAGCCGCTTTTGTGGTTTTAGCTTGGTTTTCCCAACGACAGTATTTGACACTGTTCTTGTGTTTCGTGAGTAATACCCCTTTGTGCCGCTTCACGCCGGTTTTCCCTCATTCGCGAAGACTAACTCGATGATCCGAAACTCACATTAAGCTCTAGCTCCTGAAGGACTCAACCACCGACTTACCTCTGCGGCCGGCTAGTTTGAATGAAATGTCAAGTATTTTAACACCTAAAGTCGGTATGCGAACTGCAGCTGTGCCGCTGTCATCTCAGTTTTCCTAAGTCTCGCTTCTGGGTTGTATCAACAGGTATAGTGATCCAATCTATGCTGATTTAAAGTAAATGCTACTTCATAAGTTCCACAGAATCAGAAAGCAAGATTTGCCTCACTAGGTTCTGGTTTCCGAAAAAAATCCACAGGATCTGCAACCCACATTGACTTTGTTCCATGACACCAGAGGTACCCTTCGGTCCGATATCTTGGGAATCCGTGATTTGGTAGCTCAGGCGTCCGACTTGTAACCTCTGGGTCCCTGCCCGTACTTGGCTTAATTGGCAGATCTCAGCTAGCATACAACCACTTGCAATCGATTGACAACGAAACATCATTTCTATCTATCTGCATACTAATAATACTGTTTTCTGTTCTGTCTTCCACAAAGTTCCGTTACATTTTGTCTGGGAGATCCACTTCTGATCATCAAACAATTTAGTTATTCAGCTACAAACTGTACGCAAAAGAGCAACGTTTGTTATCTAGCTGGTAAGTAGCAACTGTGAGCGAACTACTGGATAAGTGGACACTACTCCGGTTTGAACATGGTTTTAAACGTCATCGATGCGAAAGCCCCTGAACCTGTTTCTGCCTAGCCGTATTTTGAGGATCCTTAGATCATGTCATTTCAGAATGGTCCTCGAGGTCGACAACCTGAGATGTATTTTTCTCAACCCCCTTCGAATGTTGGTTCAGACACCTGGAGTCTTGTCTAAACTGTGCCATGTTCTATCAGTTGCCGCGACAGAAGGGCACGATGCTCAATAGTTCGCGCTCATGATTCACTCAGGAAATCATGACTCTCGTGCTCACTTGTTCCCCTGCTATAGCACAGGGCATCCAACGCACGTACCCCACTTGACAAATATGCTATCTGTTATTTGGTCCGGAGTTTATCTTCTAGAGCAATTCCACTTTCCCCAAGATTAATTAGTGTTTCGCACATCATCTACACTGGTGATGAGAAAATCAATTTACTTTCAACACGTCCCCCTTCATAAGCGCATATGCAGCTACTCGAGAAAACGTTTTGGTTTCTTTCTTGTAACACTTGGGCTGTTGAAATATCCTGTTAACCCGTTGTCCTATCACTTTCAACCGTACTTTGGATCGAGGCAGTTAAATCTACTTTGCATCAGTTGCTCGTTTCGATTCGTTGATATATGTATGCTCATGCACCCCATGGCACTCTTATTGTCTGTCTCTACTGCAATCGATTGTATCAAAGTGATATTCTCCGTTGCATGTGTGAACCGCCGCGTTATCCACAAATGTGCTCTTGTCCAACCAGCTGTCGGCTTTTTTCCCTTCGTCGTATCACTTAACTTTCCTCGACTACAGTATGGTCAGCATTGCAGTTCAATTACAATCCTCTTCAAAGCTACCCTAAAGGGTAGCGGCTCAATTTGACTTTTAGCGTCGATCAATTAATTGATGAATATTTGAAAAAGATCGGATTCTTGCGCTTGGCCAATAACTCTTCAAATAACCGTTAAAGATACTCTGTTATTTGGTGAAGTAGGCAAGGACACATGGTATTGTGATGAAAGTATCCTTTCAAGGACCGCCAACCCACAGATAGGACAACTAACTGTGTGCAGAACACATCAACTGCGAAGACTATACGCAAGTATACATCGGTTAAACGGTGAGGGAGCTGTGAATACGGATTGCAGAACACAAAAAGCGCATTTTTAAACCACAGATGGATGAGTTTGAATACGTAGATCTCTTAAGAGAATCAGCTATAACGGTACATGTGCTCGACACCGGACATGAGGTCGATTTAGATCATACTGAGATCATTGGGAGAGGTTTGCGGGCGACACCAAAGAGGTTAATTTCCGAGACGGAATAATTCGCCAAAGCAATAGTTTTGTGAATAAAATGAATGGATGAGCTCTCAACTGTGTGGCGTGCAATCTTAATCCGGCTAGCGTTGGTACTCAGATTAGGTTGTATAGTGAAGATCGACATCACTATCATCGTCACCAAGACCGTGATTGTCAACGCGACGGACAGTGAAACCGCCTTAATGGTACTAGTCTGATTGGGCCACTTGAAGCAATTCTTAAACAGGTGTCTGTGATAATCCCTTTACTCCTGTCTCCTTTATCACGATTACCTTTCTGGCTCCTCATAAAATGCCACTTTAACTCTGTACCAATTCCCCTGGCCTGATGAGGCTTTTGTGTCACAAAAGAAGCATTGCCAAATGGGTATATCAACCGATTGTTCCAAACTCTCCCGGTAATCACGACTTCTCCATCGCGTGTAATTCCAAACGTGTCCGTCGTTAGCCAAAGGGACAAAGTGTCTGCACTGTACTTCACAGGTGCGAGTAACCCTGCAATATTTTGTAGCCCGCACACGGCTAGTGATGGTCGCCCCGCAGTGTAGCGTCGGTTAGACATACCGGCGTACTGCCGATGCAATTATAAATTCCAAAAGTTCGAGGTATGCATCTTTCACACCTACTCCGTTTAAGTGCTATCCTCACCATCGACTGTGACTTCGCCTTATAACTGCTTTACCCATCATTGCAATTTAGGTGGTGAATTTCCCTACGACGTGGCACTGTGATTGCACACTACTAATGTCTTCTTTCTAGAATGAAGGTCCTACGAACAGCTCGCTTGGATTGACGAGCAAAGGACGAGCTGCGATGCAACTTGAGCCGATAATACGGTTGCCGCCTCTTTTATATTCTAGCATGTGTTAAGCCTTCAAGTGTCTAAATCCTGACATCATCGATAATGCAGGATTGCAAGCATCCGATCTTTTCATCACAGTGCGTTCCATTTAGTGATAACCTACTCCAGTCTACTTGCCTCGGAAGTTCCGTTATCGAAATCTGCAGTTGCTTATGAGGAGTGGAAGTCATTTCTCCCGGAATGAAAACCGTTGATTCGTTATTTTCTTTACCAGGACTTCATCTCCTTTCAGATTTTGAAAGCCTTGCAGTGCAGTGCATTAACTGTGGTGAACTCTGAATGTTTTCAAATTGTACTTTATATTCCTCACTGTTTGCCCTTATTTACCACACCATTTTTCTCATGAGCTGTTCCATCTGATTGAGGGTTTTCAAGTAGATGTACTGAATAAACCCCCGGCTCTTGTTTATCTCACTGAGCCTTCTTGCTCCAGCCGCATGTTGTACTTTGTCCTCTTTGATTGTTTTGTCACAATTATGTGGCTCTTTTTTCTCACCCTTCGCTGTTGTCTATGATTTATGCGTTAGCTTTAGGCTCATCCGATTCCGCTATACAACCTCGTTTGTTTGGAATCAGTTGGTTAGTATATCTGCATGGCGGGAAAATAACAAGGTGCATATATATATATATATATATATATATATATATATATATATATATATATATATATATATGGTTGGCGGCGTCCGGTTTCGGATTTACCTGTCACTGTGGCAAGCCACAGGACGCCTGCGCCTACAGAGGGACCATGGGTGGCTTGCGCTGCACCACCCACAGCTCCAACCACACACCCCATATCCAGCGTAAACCCGAAGGAATAAGACCGGGAGGCATGTGAATGGGCGCCACGTTTCATCAACGGAGCCGGCCCACACTCCTTCACAGCCAAACACAAGCACACTGTATTTGGGGAATCAAGCGCACACAAGGCGGTGGCTGGACCGTAGTCCGCTCCACACTGAGTGCATGGAACCACTCTTCGAGCCTAGCACGGCCGCAAGGACCGTGCACCCCGTCCCCTCCAGCAACGAGCAACTATCTCCTGGAGCCAGAATGGACGAAGTAGTGGGTAATAGACAGGTAGGCACCTTGTCAACATGTACATCAAGCGCAGCCACATCGGGGATATCAAGCAACAGCCAATCACTTGAAACGACAAAATGAAAAAAATATATCCACTAGTGCATACAGATACGGTGGCATAACTCTTCGCTAAATTAGCATATTAAGTAATTTGGTTAGCAATGAATCCGCGATAAGGAAAAAGAATGTCCACAAGTTACTCAAAAATGCTACAAATGCAACAAAATTACCGAAGATAAGCGCAATTAGCGTAAACAACGTGACCAGCCAATAGAAGACTATCCAGACAGGCAAAACAAACCAAATAAACGAATAAAATTTATGCAGCTTAAAGAGACCTAGTTTAAGTGTAAGTTGGTTTAGCCCAACTGCGGTGAAGAAGCATCAAGAATGCAACATCAGCCTCAGCATGTGGCAGTATATATATATATATATATATATATATATATATATATATATATATATATATATATATATATATATATATATATATATATATATATATATATATATATATATAATGATGACCATCAACAATATACCGGTATTTGTAGCTGAATATCCACCCATCCTGGTTGCATAGAGCGAATCCTTCACTTGACTACCTCTTGCCGACGCTTCACTGTCACGCGGCCGCCAGCACTCGTTTACAAGCTAGGGGTACTATGACGTCAGCACAATCTACCCAGGCTCTAACTGTCGACCTGAATCACTCGGACACTGTCCTCGCAAGTACCACTGTAGATAAGAAGTAGCGTATCCATAAGATCAGTGTAATAAGTTGCTCGATGAAAATCTCTTGTAAGTACCCTTCTCCCAACCGTGGCTCGTGGCGCCCTGCATGAATTCACTGCTTCTATCATTTTCTCCCACTACTCGCGATTGATGTTTCTCTCGCTAGCGCAAGTCTACGGACAACGTTTATTGTTATCTTCGCATTCTTTTCCCTGCTCTCCGCCCTATTCTTCTACACCTTTCCTCTCATTTTTAGCATCGCAACCTTGCAATTCACTCTCTGTCTACTCGCGCTACACACCAGCCTACAGGCGCTACAGTTGGTCGCCCGTCGTGGCCCGCCTTTCTAACCGTTGTCCTTGTATCATTGGTCATATGTGGCAGCTGGCTGACACGTCATGAGCCCGGTCCCTCAGAGCCCCAACGTCCCCAGAAACTGTATTCATACAAAGGGTAAGCTCACCATTGTGAACGGTGCCTCGAAAGCCAAACGTTTTCTCTCTCTGCTCATATTTCACCACTCTGCATTGATCATTTGCTTTTGAACACTTACATTGCTCTGCCCCGTACCACTCTACACTGTGTTTCGAACCCTCTTTTCCCGTGCATGCTTGTGCCCCAGGATCAACAGCCGACAGCAATAGGCCAGTGTATTAGCCGTTTCCGAAGAGATGCATTCACACAGGTAGTGACTGCATTAAACTAACAACAGCGTGGCATTACTTGTTATCAAGCTTTTACCTCTTCGTTCACTTTTGTCAACCTTGGAGCGATTAACTGGTGTTATGGAAAAAAAGGTGATCTGTAACGCCTGCGAGCATCTACCGGTGCGTGTTATGAGCTTTTATTTCCACGGGAATCCGGTTGCGCCTTTCACTACTATGGCTACTGTATGTACCAGTAAAATGGACATCTCACTTTGACGACAACAGAGTACTGTTCCTTTGACCGCTGTGGCTTTGCAACATCTGATGAGGCCACTTGGTATGCAATGCTATCATATTGTCACGGAGGCGAAATGCCTGTCTACGATGGCGCACTTTAGCGGGACAGGATTAGTAAGTTCACGTGAGCGGCTGACAGACTCGTGACCATGGTCAAACCGGAAGCTGATGAAATCAGCCCGTCAGCGTGACACAGGTCGCTAGGTGGCAGGTGTGAGTGAGCATGACTACAGTTACCAAATGCGGCCCGCTAGCAGGTATGGAATCTCTCCAGACAAGTGGCGTGAGTCAGCTCGGAACGTACAACCGGAGATGATAGAATGTGACCTATAAAATGAATCATGTTCTGTCCCTAATCTACTTCGGTCTAGCAGGTTTCGGTGTCCTATTTTGTCCCCGGTTGGTTTGGCGTGACAGAGAGCAAAGGGAAAACAGCGTTACAACACACACGTTACGGGGCTTAGCAAACCGTCTGCTAAACATGAACCACCCACCCGGGCTGGCCACACTTTTCGCGCTCCTCGCAGTCGTTTCTCTTGATGTGTTTTTTACCTCGTAGCCCTGGACGATTCCTTTCTAATATACTCAACATAAATCACAATAAAGCTTCCACGCTTCTCTGGATGATGGATTCTTGGTTCGGCCATACATTGTATTCGTTCGTGTACTTGTTCTCTCTCCATTTGCCTAACCTAATGTTTGTCGGCATTTTGCAACTGGGGTTTTTGTCTGGTTTTCGCCTCGTTTTCCCCCGCCTTTTGTTATCATAAAGGCGTTGGTAAAGACAGCTGCATCGATTACACTTCGGGGCTCCAATCACCTCCGGCTAACCAAATTGCCCGATTTATTGTCCTGTTTACCTTTACTTTCATGGTTCTCTGATTCATAAACGACACTGTCTTATCACGAATTATCCTCTGTCGTCGCTAATTGTACCATTACTATATTCGCTCATAAGCCATCTCCGGTGTGAGTACGAAGACACGCCTCATTCGTCCGTGTCGTATGTGGTGTCCGTCCCACTCTACGCTGAATTGGCTGCGCAGTTTCTACTAGCCGATCAAATGAATCCATTCTATACTACTCTACGCATGGTCTTCCTGTCATATCCAGAGACCAAACTGCAACGCCATCTGTGATGTATGTTTGGAATCTGGTCATTCCCTGGGAAGATCGCAACTTAACTGCCATGTCCAGCCAGTTTCTTTGGGGGTTCCTAGAACCAAACTACTTGGAGGTCGTTGTATGTTCACCGACTTAGATCACAGCGTTTTAGTCACTATTCTTCTTTAGCCTCTGCATATCTTTTCCTGAATACGCACGATCCTGCTCCTTATCTCTACTCTGACTGCCGACAGCTCGGCTCTTGTCGTCCATCCTTATGTATCACTGAATTCGCTTAATATGATTATCCATCCAACCGATAAACCTCCGTTCCGTTTTGCACACTAAGTGAATGTTAACGTCTGCTCCTGTTCTGATGGATACATCCCATGTGAAACGACACTGTTGAGACAAAGCAAGGCACGACAGTGCAACAACCTACCTCCACCATCGTTTTTGTCCCACTTGTTCCATGCGACGTTAAGTGGCGCAGTTAGGGGATACTTTCGGAGTATGTTTATCAACCATTGTTCCTATTTTGTAAAAGCCAAAAGATACTGTGTGGAAAACATCGAGGCACTTGCCTTGTTGCAGGGATTTTCAGGCTTACCACGCGCATCACCCTACGGTAGCTCATTGGTCCTTGGGAGAGTGGAGTCCTCGCGGGCCACACCATCTGTCTGTAGGCACACGGATCATATATTCACACTTCATATTGTCAGGGTCCGAGTTTTATTTCGAATTGGGAATAATCGATCTCACAATGATTCTTCTCCGGCTACCTTATCGACTTGTTGCAGACCTTAGGGACTATTTACTCAACGACTTTATTCCGTGTGTTGTTTATAGTTTGCAGTGAGAAGTGTAGACAAACCTCGGATGACTTTGATGCTGTCTCTGGTGTGAAGCAAGACTGTCTTAGCTCCTGCTCTGTTTAATATTTACTTTTATGCAATTATGTCTTGTACTTTCGATACTACTTGTCATTCTGGTGTTCGTGTGGAACACCGTATTGATGGTGGGTTGCTAAACATCCGTCGTTTCGTGGCGAGAATTCCAGTCTGGGAGGCAACTATCCGTATATTGCGTTGTTTGCGCACAGTGTGGATGAGTCGCAGCACAGTACTTCGGATCTGGCTTCGACAGCGGTCCAATTCGGGCTCACCATCAAGACAAGCAAGACTGTCTTTTCCAGCCTTCACCCGGAATGGAGTCCGTAGGCTTGCTCCAAATCCAGGTTTCCGACGAAGTGTTGAAAACCACTCCGAGATTTTGCTACCTTGGGAGCGTAATTACCACCGACCTGCTTATGACGAGTGAGCTGCGCAGCCGCGTATCAAAGGCTGCTGCTGCATTTGGCAATCCGGAATATTCTGTGTGGAACAACCACCAGCTCACTGTCGGTACGAAGCTGCTGCTATACACGTCTATGGTGCTGTTTATTCTTTTATACAGCTACGAACCGTGGACGCTTTATCGGAAGTATGTCCGTTATCTGGAGCGCTTCCATCAAGTGTCTGCGCCGTATTATGCGTATCGGCTGGAGTGACCGAGTTGCAGACACGGAGGTATTCCGACGCAGTGGCATGTATGTAGTGGACCGCATACTTTCACTGAGGCACTTGAGGGTGCCTGAGTCATATTCGCCGCATGCATTCGACCCGGATACCGAAACAGCTGCTTTATGGACAACTGCGTGCAGGGAAGCGGCACATGGGAAAGTCAAAGTTACGTTACCAGGACATGATCAAGGTGAGCCTATCACGTTCTGATACTGATTTAGATGTTGGGAATCAAAGACGGTTGATCGGCTTGCATGGCGAGAGCATATCAAGTGGGCGTGTGTCCAGGTGCAAGCAAAATCACTGCTGCATGTGGAATAGAAACGTCGGTTGTGAAAGCGACAGGCGTCGATGGTGGATAGCCATCGACGTCGAGCGCATGGTACTGTAACACATGCGGTCGCAAGTGCCTCAGCTAAGCGGGTTTAGTAAGCTACCAAGCGTCACTTCGTTGGACCAACACCCAAGAGAATACGAGTGTGCTAAACGTGTAAGCATCCTCAGCACAGCGTTTGGTAATTTCGCTGCTTCCGATTTAATTTACTTACCCAGGTCGATGATGCCGTTCATGTGTTACATGTGCCACATCGCCGTTGCAGTTGGTCTATGCGTGTGCGCGCGTGTTGGGTTTCTTGCATTTTAGGTGTTGCCTTTTGATTGATATCCCCGGTGTCGCTACGCTTGATGTGAATCTTGACAAGGTGCCTACCCGTCTATTACTAACCACCTCGCCTATATTGGCTCCAGGAGACAGTTTGTCATTGTTGGAAAGGACGGGGTGCACGGTCCTCGTGGCCGTGCTAGACTCAGAGAGTGGTTCCACGCATCCAGTATATAACGGATTACGGCCCAACCACAGCATTGTGTACGTCTGGTACGCACGATTTCCCAGTTAGGCATAAATGCTTCTGCTCTGTTTGTTGAAGGAGTGTGGGCCGGCTCCGCTGATGAAACATGGCTCCCATCCGCATGCCTCTCGGTCTTATTCCTTCGGGTTTACACTGGATATGGGGTGTGTGGTTGGAGCTGTGGGTGGTGCAGCGCAAGCCACCCATGATCCATCTGTAGCCGCAGGTGTTCTGTGACTGTCCTATGGAGGCAACATTGACAGACAAATCCGGATGTCGCCAACCAGTGAGCAATCTGTCACAGGCTTCCAATAACCGCGATTCTCTGTATTCGCTCTGCTGCTTTGTGGGTGGGCTATTTAGCCAAAAGTGGGGTCCTCTAAGCCAATTTCCTACTTGGGCTTAGGCAACCGAGTACTATCACACCCTCACAAAAACCATCCACTGTTCTACGAGGTGCTCATGTGCTACTGCTTCAGCTTCTTACATTCACGTGACTTCCTCACACGCCAATTGTTTGATTGCTAACAATCCCTACTTGCCGTTACGCGATTCCTCTGTTCCTGAATCTGGCTGCTGTTCCGGTTGCACCGCGAGCCATGGAGTTCAACCTGTGGCTCGAGTTCACAGTAACGACGTTCGACGTTGTGTCTTGGGGAATGCGAGTATTCCCCTCAACAAGCTGGTTGTTCCGCGCCAGTGAAGATGGCTTGGCCACGTCCTACGTATGGCGCCTAAGAGTTTGCCGCGCCGCGCTCTACTCGCTCATCAAGGACCGGGCTGGAGACGATAGCGTGGTGGTCAGCCATCCACTTGGCGAGGGCACATGAAACCGCTGATGTCGCGTGTAGCCGCCGTTGGACCCGTACTTCTTCCAGGGTGGGGATCCAAAGATGAGGATTACTAATGGCTTGACATGATTAAAAACATGGCCTGCAACCGGAATCTCAATCGTTAGGCATAATATGACTTTCTTTTACGGCAGCCAGCTGTTA